ATATATAAATTATAGCTCCCTTTACGGTGTCGGTCTAAGACCAAGGAGCTGACAAAGTCCAAAAATTGGTCAGTGCTAATTAGAGGAGCTAACTTAGTCTAACAAAAAAGATTGAGTAGGAAGGATCATCAAAAACACCAAAAAATAGCACCAAGGATCATCAACCAAATTTTTTTTATGGTCTTGTCAACTCTCCATAAACTCCAGCTCAGGTGAGCCTCTTTCATCTTCTGTGGCAAGACACAATTCAGGTCAGAAGCCACAGGGCAGTGCAAAAACAGGTGGTTGACAGTTTCTGCATCTCCCCGACATAGATAACACCTGTTGACCAACTGGAAACCTCTTCTGTTGAGGTTGTTTTGAGTTAGGCGGGCCTCATTGAGGACAATCCAGTTGTGGCAAATGACTTTGATAGGTAGTTTGGTCTTCCATATTAACTTCCAGGGCCATGCATCTATCACCTGGTTCTGGGAACCAATATGCCTGTAGCATTCTTTTACTGTGAAGGTCCCCTTATTCCCCCAACAGATGGTATCTTGTTGGCTCACATCAATATTGTACCCCTCCACTTTTGATAGCATATCAAATAGGCTATCAATTTCCTAGTCTTGCACTGCTCTTCTAAATTGAACATCCCAGTTGCTACCATTTCTGTTTTGAGCTATAGAGGAATTCTGGTAGACAGTAATCTGATATAGGCTAGGATACTCATCCTAGTTTCCAGAATCTTATGTGAACCCCATTGCCTGGTTTGAAGTGGATGTATTGGAAGAAGTCATTCCCCAATTTACTGATGTACTTCCAAGGACACACACCATAAGGTGCATTAGAACTTTTAGTGCTCCAGGTATCTCTTTTCCCATGCTTGGCAGTGATCACTTTCTTCCATAGGCTTGATTCTCCCGTGCCATATCTCCAAAACCACTTCATTAGTAGGCATTTATTGTGGGTTGCTAGATCTCTAACTCCCAATCCTCCACTGCATTTTGGCTGAGTGACTTTATCCCACTTTATCAGATGAAACTTGTGGGTGTTCTTATTACCCTAGGAAGTTTCTCCTTAATCTGTCCAATTGCTTTAGTACTTTCTTTGGAATAGGAAACAGTTACAAGTAGTACGTTGGTATGTTGTCAAGCACACTGCTGATGAGGGTTAATCTGCCACCCATGGATATATATTGAAGCTGCCAGGAGGTTAGTCTCTTCTCAAATTTTTCAATGATCCCATTCCATACCTTATAGTTTTTGAACTTAGCACCTAGTGGTAGGCCCGAGTATAATGTAGGCAGAGTCTCAATACTGCAACCCATAATGCCTGCCAGCTCCTCTACATTTGGCACCTGATTGATAGGGTAAATTATACTTTTCAGCACATTGACATGTAACCCTAACAAAGCTTCAAAGAGGAGAAGAGTTAGGTTTAGGTACATAACTTGACTTATCTGCCTCACAGAAGATCAAAGTGTCATCAGCATATAACAAGTGAGAAACCGTAACTGAGTTCCCAATATTGGAGCCTACTTTGAATCCCTTAATCCACTGCATTTCTCCGGCTTTTTCCAACATCTTGCTTAGCCCCTCCATGGCTAAAATGAACAGGAAAGGGGAAAGTGGGTCTCCCTGCATGATCCCTTTTTTAGGGAAGAAGAAGCCCATTGGTTCCCTGTTGACTAAAACTGAGTATTTGACTGTAGAGATGCTGAATTTGATCGACCTTAACCATTTGTCTCCAAATCCCATCTTCCTCAGTATAGAGATTAGATAGGACTTGTTGAGTTGGTCAAAAGCCTGGTCCAGCTTGCACATAATACCAGGATCCCCAGTTTTAATCCTCTAATCTAGAGCTTCACCAGCTATAAGTGTTGCATCTGTGATTTGTCTATGTTTGATGAAGGCATTCTGATGACTGGACACAAGTATACCAATAACCTTTTTCAACTTTTCTGCTAGCAGCTTGGCCACAATCTTATAAACACTTCCAATAAGGCTTATTGGCATATAGTCTTTGAGCTTAATTGCCCCTTTCTTTTTAGGGATCAAGGCAATGAAAGAAGCATTACATGACCTCTTATAAACACTTCCAATAAGGCTTATTGGCATATAGTCTTTGAGCTTAATTGCCCCTTTCTTTTTAGGGATCAAGGCAATAAAAGAAGCATTACATGACCTCACCATATAACATTGCTGATGGAAATGATTGAGAGCCCACGTCACCTCTGGTTTCATAAATTCCCAGGATTTTTGGGAAAAAGCCATACATCACCTCTGGTTTCTTAAATTTCCAGGATTTTTGGAAAAAAGCCATTGTGAAGCCATCTGAACCTGGAGCTTTATCTGGGGCACATGAAAGAATAACATTATGCACTTCTTCTTCCTCAAAGGTTTTTTCTAGCATCTCTGTGTCTTCCCCTGAAAGTGTAGCAACTTCGTCAAAGTTAGTTGTTGGTCTCCATCCCTCATTCTCCGTGTACGAGTTCTGATAAAAACTCAAAATCTCTTCTTTGATTTTTGCCTTGTCTTCTATTAATTCATCATCCACCTGGAGCTTGTCGATAGTGTTGAATCTTCCGTGAGAGTTAGCAATTGATTGGAAGTACTTTGTGTTCCTGTCACTCTCTTTTAACCATTGACACCTTGAATTTTGTCTCCAAGATGTTTCTTCAGCTTTGGCTAGTTCCTCCAACTCCACTTAAACTCCAGATTTTCTGCTTCTCAAATTGTATTGGGATTCTATTTTCTGTGATATGTTCTAATCCAGCAAGTTCTTCCAGTGCTCTGTTTCTCCTGACTTCCAGGTTACCAAAGATTTCCTGGTTCCAGTTGGAGATGTCCTTTTTCATATTCCTCATTTTCTGAGCGAGTATGAAATCAGGACTACCCCATATAATGTAACTCTGTCACCACCCTTTCAACATATCTATGAACCCTTCTTGTTGTAACCACATGTTTTCAAACTTGAAATAGGAGTGTGTAGAGTCCCATTCTCCACACTCCAACAACAATGGTCTATGGTCTGAAATTGGTCTTGGAAGAGCCAGTTGTTTGATTGCTTTGAAGCTCTCTTCCCACTCTGTAGAAACAAGAAATCTGTCTATCATGGATGCATGTAGAATGTCTTCTCCCCTTTTCCAGGTGTATTGTACCCCATGTAGAGGTAGATCAATTAATTGAAGCTCCAAAATAGTTTCTATAAAGTTCCTCATAGTTGTGGATCTACATACATTAAAGTCCCCTCCAATCACCCATTTGTCCTCCCAGATGCCCCTTATTGCACCCATTTCCAGCCATAAATCTTCCCTCTCAGAATTGGTATGCGGGCCATACACTCCGGTAAAAGACCACCTAAAATCCCCATGCATGCTTTAAAGCATACAAGTTTGGGTAGTTGCCTTGACGAGAGTCGGTGCATTTCCACAATCGTTTACCCCATCGGATGATAATGCCACCTCTGGTACCACAAGCTTTTAACTCTACCCATTCAGCCTACCTGTTCCCCCAAATATGATGAATGAAACTAGTTGGAATGTTTTCCATTTTGGTTTCCTGTAGACACAATATATCTGCCCTCCATTTTTCGGACTAGTGATGCTAAAGTGCTTCTCTTTTTCCTACCATTAAGACCATGTATGTTCCAACTTAAGATTTTAACGTTCATCTTGATACAATCTTGCAATGCCTGCCCCTTTTGCTACTACACTCATCATAGTTAATCTCACTAATTAAATTTTGCACCTCAATTTCCCCTTTTTATTCGTTGTGGCAGATGGCCCTCTTTTCTGAATTTGAGCTTGTCGGTTCTGATCCATCCTCAAGATTAAATCCAAGATTTCATGTTCGAACCCAACTGCATTAATCCCAAAAGCTTTGCATGCTTTACCCATAACCAAATTTGTCCATTTGGAAGTATCTATTGTGTTGGGATGTTGAACTACTTGTGATTGCAGGAGATTCTCCTCATGCCAGGGGAGGTAGAGTGGCTCACTGTAGGAATCAGTGTCTGGGCAAACAAGAGCTGTCGAGGCAGCATCTGACCAATTTAGACGATTTAAAAGACTCGTGAGATTGCTTACAAAAGTTTCTATCATCTGCTTCGTCGTCAACTTCAGTGTCGTTGATGGGCATGTGAAGATGATTCTGTTCTACTTCCGTGGATGTGAGTTTTCTATGAGTTGTCTTTTGGCAAAGTTTTGATGATATTTGGAGAGTTGTTGCTATGAGTTTGGGGGCTAGGATCTTTTACTCTCCATACTGATTGGGCCTTCCTTGATTTGCCCTTTGCTTGGGCCTTCTGACTTGGGGTTTTGAAATAACAAGACTGAGTTTCTATTAGGCCCAAATATGCTGAGCTTTTAACTCCTGAGCAGCTTGCTTGATTGGGCCTTGTCAGAGGATATTTTTTATCGGCCCTAGTGTCCATATAACTTGGAGTGGGACCAGATAAATTTAAATTAAAGTTATCTTATGCCACCTGACCACCCACAATACCCGAGATGTTCCTTGGTCTCTTCTCCCCTGCATCTCCAGCACTTCTCCCCTGTAACTGGACTCTAGTTGGAAATGGCGCACGTATGGAAGCAACTTCCTTTAAAATCGAGATCTCAAACCTCCAATCCTCCGCATCAAGCTCGATTTTATCTGGGCATTTGTTCCTGCTAGCATTGACACATATTCTTGCCCAGAAATAGTGGCTACGATGCTTTGTGCCTTCATCAATTCCGACGAAACCACCACAAAGATCACCAATAGTAAGGTTCAAGTGACCACGCGTGGATGGGAATACCAAAAGCCTTGACCCATTTGTATTCTGATCATCCCAAATCAGTTCCTGCCACCGGTGACCACTCAAGAGATAGACGGCGACCATTCCAAAACCATTCACCAACATGTATTCTCACCGCTTCTTGTCTTGAAGGAAACTCAAATAGAAACTGGTAGTGAGAGAGGGGTGACTAATACCAGCACAGATATTCCACCTATTCAAGTCGGCTACTTTTGTTGTGATGTTTCCCACATTTCCTGCATTCGTTGCTGAGATCTCCGGCCACTGAGTGATCTTTGTTGTATTAACATATGATCTTATCTGAGGAGCATAAGCCTGCTTGTATCTCTTTGTGGGCAGTTCCTCCAGAAAATGTAATATCTAATTAGCAATGTCACCTCATCCCCCATTGTAAACTGATTCGGGAATAATTACTGCTTTTTTCCTATCACATGTCCAAGTTTCTATTCTGATGAATCTGCCATATGGGCTGAAATTTAGAAACACTATGTATGCGTATGCTTGTGACTTCCATCCCCATCGCTTGTAATGATCCCCTGCACTTCTTGATGCTTGCCTGAAAGCTCCACACACTCGACGAAGGTTCTCCTCGTCTAATCTGATTTTGGCCGAGAATCGCATGCCCCTTTCAATTAAAACGAACCATCATTCAACTGAATCGATCAGCTCAAAAGATTTATCACCTGCAATGAAGAAAGTCTTGTTTTCCATGTGAACCCAGTGAAGAACAGAGTGATATTAACAAGAAAAGTCGTCGGAACATGGTTCAAGTAGAGAGAGAGAGAGAGAGGGCTCATTTCCCAAGAGAGAAAAATTTTGCAAATAGTTGATTTAAGAGATTAAATTGTGTAGATCCACGCACATTGGCTTAGAAACATTATATGAGATTTTCATTTTAGCAACAGAGCAACTTATATACTACAACTATTTAGACTATAGTACGACCTCAAAGCTGATGAGTTACATCAATTTAAAAAATTCGACCTAAACAGTGAATAAGTGCAACATTATGTTACCTAGTACTCATCCGCTTTGTGTTTCCCTAAGGGTTGGCACCAAAGGGATTTCTCGTCAGCAAAAAAAATTCTAGAAAAATAGCACTGCACTTACTCTTTTGTGTGAGCTTTCAATCCAGTATTTGTTTGGCTTTGAAAACCTCAAAGTACCAGCTTTGACCACAGTTATAGCGTCATGGTCCTGCCAAAGCGGCAAAAATATGTATAGAAGATTAGAGATATTTATCTTAACAGCAGTTAGAAAATCTAAGATACTGATGTATTGCCTCATTGTATTTTGAGCATACTAAAAGTAGGATAGAAATTTCTCAAGTATCAATATTCAAACCATAACTCAAATAATGCTAAATCGATTACTATCATCCACAAAGGAAAATACCATATATACAGGAAATGTCCCAGAACGGTGGGGGAAGCAACCACAAGTTGGAGATCTCACAGGATCAGTGTCTAGCTTGAATATGTTGCCTATGTATCTCTTTTTGGTACATATGGAATGAAAGAAATAGAAGATTTTCCCAAAATAGCAAGAACGGTATCTTCCAATTTGAGTTTGTGGTGTAAAGTCAAGTATATAAATGATCCAGAATCACTGACAGATTTGGCGGACACCCTGAATTTGAGAAGAACTAAAGCATTATAAATGTACATAGTTTTTGGCATTTGGTTGCATTGAGTAGTGATCCCAATTTGCTGAAGGAAAATATGGCAAAAGTGATGTATAAAGTATAAATGGAACCTTTTTTTATATGTATTTTTTTGTGCAAGGAGATAAATCATGTTCTCTAGGCAGTTGGGCAAACTTTAGATGACTCTTGTTGATACAAGTTGAGTCATATACACAATTTGAACATATTCTTCAAACAATCTTGATGTTATATTAATGAAATTGTTTGAGTTATATAAAAGGGAACCATATACAGGGAAAATGGTGGAAGAAAATTAGTTCTTTTACTCATTGCTAGTAAGTGTTGAACAAAATACCAAAATGTATCAAAATCCATGTGCCACAACATGGAGAGTTCAGAAAGTCACAGTAGCTACACTAAAAATAATCAAAGCATCCATATGAAATTAACCCTACTGAAACAAAACCTGTTGGAGACCCCCACCCAGCTTAATGGTTTGGTCAGTCAACTTAGAAAGATCCAAAATCACATCACCCGGAACCTGATTAAAATCAAAAATACAATATTTTTTGCATTAGATATACATGCGTGAATTTCAATATATTGGCACATAAAAAGGAAGAAAAAAATAAGTGGGGGAAAACAGGGTACTTACTACAGGTTTATCAATAAAGGTTGAACGAGTAGGTAATGGCTTTGAAGCCATTGTCTTTCTTGGTTTTAACTCTGTTACAGAGGGAAGTGTAAAACTTACGGTTGTGTACTCAGAGAGCCTGTTGTAGGAGAAGAAAAGGAAACGACGTAAGAGAAGAAGTATATTCCTTGTTTTCCCTTCCTTTTTAAGTCGTTAAAAGGTGATAAAAATGTTATTTGAAAAATCATCGGGTTTTTTACACCGAATATATAAATTTTAGTTTAAATATTTATGTTCAAATTTACATCAAAAATTAAATAATTAGACCCTCATGACATATAACTAGTAATACTTTTTTCAGAGAGAAAGAAGAAAACAAATGGAGCTATTTTTTAAGGTGTATGATCGAGAACCACAATGTCGGTGTACGCATAAAATTGATTACTGACAGTTGGATGAATGAGGAGATGACACGTGGAGATGAAAAGAGGTAGCATGTGAGTCAGCAAGTAGTTGATACCGGTTGCAAGCATGTGACCGGTGTTGGGTGAATTCCGAAAACAGGGTAACCGATAGCAAAGATTTGAAGAATTGATATCGAATAGCATTCAATAAACAGCTGTTACAGAGAATATCTGCATTTATAGCCAACTGTTATGCAGCCATCAATGACGGTTTTATTCTTATTCAAGAGGAGCTTGATTTGGGGATCTTGTCTCCCTAAATATAGCTATAAATAGGAGAATTAGTACCCATTGTAGGAAAAAAATATATTATGTACACAAAAGCTTGAATCAGCTCTCATTCTATAACATTATTCTTCTACCTTGATCTTAATATTGTTCTTACTTTTGATACTGGAGAAGCTAAAATTCGTAGCCAGGCTTGTATTTCCTATAAGTTCATTTTATAATCTTATTTATGTTCTTATTTATTTCATATCTAGGTCAAATTAATTCATGTGTTTATAAATCGCGTTACAAATCCAGTTATACCATTTTACGGGTAAACAGTTTAGCGCCTACCGTGGGACATAGACAACAGTGTAATTGATTTGATCCATTCATCTATTACTAACAAATTTTGATTCCTTTCTTAGCAAAAGAAAAATTAGATATGGCAGCTAACAATGTTAATAATTCCTATAATGATTCAACCAGCGAAACCCGCAATGAAGGAGATGAAACAACTCCAGTTCGCGAAAGTCAAAATCCTCGACATGTGAGAAGTCCAGCTCCTAATGATGCGGATGATGAACACGTTGAAACGGTCAAAATCTTGAGAGAACAACAAACGACAATTATGGATCACATCTCAAGACTGTCACGCCTCTTTTTTCCCACACAACCCTATTACGAGGTTGAGTTAGAAGAGTTTTTCCAATTAAAGTGACATTTTGAAAAGGGATTATTTATTATTTGGAGTCGCCGCTTGGAATTGAGTTTTGGTGTTCCAAGTCACCTTTTTATTTGAATCCATCATCAAACGGAAGATTTGACACCTTATTTATAGTCAACGAAAACAGAAGACTGAGTAAGAAATTCTGTTGACCGAGAGTAAGGTGTGAGGCACCCCTCGAGTCACATAATTCTAGCACGGTCGCTTTTATTGACTAATGTAAGGCTTAAATCAGTTTTTGGCTATTCTTATATTTTATTGGTTATTTTGACCTAGATGCGGTATGCATACAAGGTACTTCTTAGAAATTAGATGTTAAACCAAGGTACGGAATGTACACACGGTTAAAACATAATTATTTTAAACTTAAAGGTATCGAGATGTGGGAATGCGCACATAATCCTTTTACTATTTAAGCAAATCAATCCAAAGTTCAGGTATGAACACTGTCACAACTCCTTTTTTCAGAAGAATAGGGAATTTTTCCAATTAAAGTGACATTATTCGAAATGGGATTATTTAATTCATTCAGTGTCTCCACTTGGGATAATTGTTATGGTGTCCCAAGTCAACGGTTTATTTTAAAATCTCAAATCGAGAAAATCATGACTCCATTTTATGGTCCGCGCACACAGAAGACCGGGTAAGGAATTCTGTTAAACCCGGGAGAAGGTGTGAGGCACTCCCGAGTTCCGTGGTTTTAGCACGGTCGCTCAACTATTAATAATTGGCCTAACTATCTGATTTATTACATGTTTAAAACCTATTGTGCATTTTTAACTTTCTAACCGCTTTTAATTATTTGTTGCTTTTGGGATTCATGGAATTTATTTAAATAAGTCACAATGTAGCGCACTCGTTTGTTTTCGTACATATTGCGAATCACGCCACGTGAAACGTACCCGCAATTTACAACATGTTTATTTTTATTATTATTTGAAGTTGAGGTCAAGTCACGTGAAACGCACAATTGAGTTGGGATTTACGTATCGTGACCATGCCACGGGAACCGTACCCATGGCCACGATGATTTATTAATCGCGCCTAAAGCAAACAACGGTGTTCAAGAAATGTTCATATTCCTTAGTCTTGTAAAGTCATTGGTTATGAAGAAAAAGTATGGATAAGGTATAGAACGTTTGAGATGGATCCAAAGCCAATTGATAAGAACATTATTGGGATAAAGCGTCGGTTAATAAGTTTACACTTGAGGATTGCGAATCTGGAAAGCCATTATCTTAACTTAGTTTGTTCAAATGCTTTATGAAATCTTTACTAGCTTACATGCCTTATATTTTTACAAAACCAACTATATTGTTCAATAACTGGACGGCAATGTTATAGCTCAATAAATAAAAGTAAATGATCAAGCGATGAGCTTCTATCAATTTAAGCATTCATAATTTGCACGAATAGCCATCCAAACAACTATACTGTCGATTATAGATTACCTCGCTAAAATTACAACATTCATACTCCACTGAAGAATACAGCTTTGGCTAACATTCACTATGATCTCAATTCTAACTGATGTTTAATAGCTACAAACCCCCAACAGCACTGCCCAACAGAGATAAAACTTCACTCAGGTCTAAAACTGTAAATCAGACCAACCCGTGGCCAGATCTGCAATTATTGACCTCTGAATCCCTTATTTTGATCATCATTAGACTAGCTATCAGGTGATTGCCAAACATTCATCAAGAGGAAAACAGTAAAAGGGAAACTATCATTAAGATATTTTAAGTTACTTTAGTGCTCATATACTAATCCATTATGAACCCCGAATCAAACAGATATTTACACTTTCAATTCATATAAATTACCTAGAATATCATCATCCAAATAATCTATGGAAGTATAGAATTGGCACATATTCAAATTTGAACAAGCAAAACTCAACAACATTGTGAACTTTATTTAACCAAGCTGTATTACAAAGTTGAAATCGAACAGTACCTTAAGACGAAAGTGAATCTGAATGCAGAAGATAACAAGTGATATGAAGCTCAGACTTTAGCTAGAAATTTTGAATTGCAGAAACCTTTCTCAGCTGCTCATGAATTTTCAATTTTTTTCCAGATTTTTTAGCTAAACAGAGCAACATGAACATTTTCCGGTACAGAAACAGTAACAAACAGCCACAAAATGCGAGATTCACACAACCTTTTATAGATCCAAGGAAGAGGAAATAGAACTTTGAAAATTCAGTAATCAATTACTCCCCAAATCTTGTTCGAAATCCCAGTTTTCTATGTGTGTGTATCCATGAATCCAAGAGAGAGGTGAGAATTGTGTGTATTTCCAGATGAGAGTGAAGTCCCTCCCTATTGCGAGAGAATCCGAGAGGTGGGGTGGCTGCTCGGTCCTTTTTTTTGTAAAGGGGAAGATAGGGTTTTTTTAAGAGGGGGGAGGGTCCGGTTGGAGGTGAAGATTGGGCTGGGTCGGACTTTCAGATGGACTGGTGATTTAAAGCAAATGGGCCATTCAGAGCTGGCCCAGTCCGTTTTTGAAGCTTAAAAGGCACCTCTTCCTTTCTTTCTCTCTTTTTCCTTGATTTTTAAATCCTAAGCAAATTAAATAAAATCCTAAATTAGATCATAACTTAATCTACCTTGCAAAATTAACCTTACTTATTTTCCATTAACTTAACACTAATTAATTTAAACTAAAAGCTAAAATGTAAACATGATTAGGGTATTTTGTGATTTTCATTTATTAATTATGCAATTAATATGTGATTAAATCCTAAAAATGCAATTAAAATCTAAAATGCTATGCAATAAAGAATTGAACATTTTTATAGTATTTTTTATGGTTTTAAAATGCATAAAAATGTAACTAAATACAAACAAACAATTAAAAAGAAATCCATTAAAAATTCTATAAAAGTCAAAACAACTAGAAAAAAATTATTTTTTGTGGATTTTCTGGGAATATTTTTTGCGGGGCAAAAATTACGTGCTCACAGCTACCCCTCTTTTTATCGGAAACATGAAGAGTTTTCGTGAAAAGATAAAGCGAGCAATTACGAGCAATTTTTGCCTGTTTGACACTCCATTCGGAAGCATTTTGAAAAAGTTTGACCGAACTTTGCTTCGGAGGTTGCCTACATATCTTTGGCTATAAAGGAATCAGGTCAGTATAGTTCTGAGAATTTTGGTAGCTGGGACTACTGTGAGTTAACTGTTGTTATTATTGTTGCTGCTTGCTGAACTCCTTAGTACACCAAAATCAAAATAAAAAGAAACTAAACAAAACTATCAACTATGAGTTATAAGATTCCTATATATAAGTCTTTTGATACTTAATCTTAAGTCTTAGCTGGTTCTTCACACAGATTCTGATCTGAATCTTTATGCTTGCTAGCTGCAGGTATGGCTTCTTCTGATCAAAACGGAAAATGCAATGCTCGTGACTTCAGTCATGTCTTGAGCAGTCCATATCCTTTCACCCGCTTCTGCATTTTGGATTCACTTCTTTTCTTTTCTTTTCTTTTTCTTTATTTTGGGTCTACACTTCTTCTTTTGGTTATCTCGAACCCCGTGCCTCTAGGTAAAACCTGCTCAGATACCAGAACAAATGAAATTTTTCTGCCCCAGTTTTCACTAGGAAAATTTCGTGAGTTATTTGTAACAGAACTCTATACTACTTCATTATTGAAAGCAATAAAAGGTCGAGATAGGTGTGCCCCGGGAAAACATGATTCTTCGAAATGGTGTATCCTTCATTTAAGATCAACTCAACTAGGGAGTGGAGATCCTATGTTGGAAAAACGACTAGGGAGTGGAGACTCTATGTCTAAAATAAAATTAACTAGGGAGTGAAAACCCTATGTTGGGAAAGAGACTAGGGAGTAGAGATCCTATGCCTGAAAATAAAACCAACTAGGAAGTGGAGACCCTATGTTGGAAAAGCATACTAGGAAGTAGAGACCTTATGTCTAAAATAAACATCAACTAGGGAGTGGAGACCCTATGTTAGAAAAGAGACTAGGGAGTGAAGACCCTGTCTCTAAAATTAACATCAACTAGGGAGTGGAGACCCTATGTTGGAAAAACAGACTAGTGATTGGAGACCTTATGTCTAAAATAAACATCAACTAGGGAGTGGAGACCCTATATTGGAAAAGCAGACTAGGGAGTGGAGGCCATGTGTCAGAAAAGAGACTAGGGAATGGAGACCTTATGTCTAAAATAAAATCAACTAGGGATTGGAGACCCTATGTTGGAAAATGAGACTAGGGAGTGGAGACCTTATGTCTAAAATAACATCAACTAGGGAGTGGAGACCTTATGTCTAAAATAACTTCAACTAGGGAGTGGAGACTCTATGTTGGAAAATGAGACTATGGAATGGAGACCATATGTCTAAAATAACATCAACTAGGGAGAGGAGACCCTATGTAGAAAAATAGACTAGGGAGTGGTGACCTTATGTCTAAAATAAAATCAACTAGGGATTGGAGACCCTATGTTGGAAAATGAGACTAGGGAGTGGAGACCTTATGTCTAAAATAACATCAACTAGGGAGAGGAGACCCTATGTAGAAAAATAGACTAGGGAGTGGTGACCTTATGTCTAAAATAAAATCAACTAGGGATTAGAGATCATATGATGGAAAATGAGACTAGGGAGTGGATACCCTATGTCTAAAATAATATCAACTAGGGAGTGGAGACCCTATGTTGGAAAAGAGATTAGGGAGTGAAGACCCTATGTCTAAAATAACATCAAATAAGGAGTGGAGACTCTATGTTAGAAAAGAGACTAAGGAGTGGATACCCTATGCCTAAAATAAAATTATCTAGGGATTAGAGAACCTATGTTGAAAAATGCAGCTAGGGATTGGAGACCCTATACTACTATGATTTTGAATTTTCTTTCTTTTATTTCTTCTTTAAGAGAATGAGTAAGATGCGGGAGAGACTTTGGAGAAGACTTCCTTTTTTTGGAATTGTTGCCGTCGCAGAGCTATTTTAGTCTCCGTGCGATCTAGAAGGCTTAACATTCCTCCTTATTAGCAGCACAAATCTGTTTTGTGCTCGGCTTGATACTATCTCAGATGTCCATTCAAAAAGAGCTATTGGGGGCAGCCCTACTAATTCGTATTCGTCTTTTAAGATAGGAGCTCCTAGGCAAACTCGGAAAAGAAGGAGTGGATCCTGTCCCTTAACAAAGCACTAGTCAGCTTTTGCCTTCCTTCTAACATAAAATATACGGAGAGAGGAATCGGCATAATAAAGTAGGAAAATTTACTGAAGAAGTGCGGGAAATATTCTTAAAAGAGATTATTTGAAATTTCATTATCTTTTTTAAGATAGAAAGCTGAATCACTAACAAAGGAATTTTCTTTCGGGATGTTGACAACGTCAAAACAAAAAGAGAAGTTTTTAGTGAATCGTTATTTTCTCACGATTGGGTGGGTGTGAAGTGTACTGAGGTTAAAGTACAATACAGAGCTAGAGATGTTAGAAGGTGCAAAATTAATGGGTGCAGGAGCTGCTATTGAATCCGGTCTTAGATGGTTGGAAGATAGAAGCAATAGCATGATAGGAATAGCAGGTTTAATAGAGATGACATCATAATAGGATGAAGACGAGACTTCTTATCTACTTTCACGTGGAAATGGGATAATGTAAAAATGCCTTTGAAAGGCAACTAGTGAGAGGGATTACTTGCTAACGTATCCCTAAGGGCATATCGTCTAAGTCCAGGAGTTAGTGCACTGGATTCTTAGGCAACTGCATCGAGTAGAGTTGACTTAACACCAAGAAAATCTCCTTTCTAGTCTAGGACTTATAGCTTTGGAAATTTAATTAGTCCTGCAACTCCCCTAGCTGCACATGAATGCACAGAGAAGGCCCTCGCTCGGGTTCTTTGACATCGACTTGGTTGCTAGGAAGAAAGCAGGCTTAGAGCCAATAGAACTAGTATTCCTTCGTCACCCTCTAGCGTACCGAACTTGTTAAAAACATGATTTAATATATGAACGGACAAAAGTAGCTGCTTAGGTTGCATATATAATAATAGGAATCGAATCCACAACTATTGATATTAAATCCGCTGTTCTCACCTTAAAATCTGGGTAAGCCAAGGGGGGACTTTGAACTGTTAAGAGGTGCCTAACGTTTTCATCAATATGAAAGAGGAAGATTCTGGGCTGTACCTGTACAACTAGGGATTAGGGGGATGTTGAATAGTAAACTAAATAAAGATGACGTTGTCCAATTGGCCGAATGAAAGATCGACATGAGAAGCCGATGTTCTTAGTACAGAATCCCATGCAAATTTCTTAACTGTTTTGTTAGGCATTGGCATGAGCAAGAAAGCAGACAAGAGGAAATCAGAAGAACAGGGATTCGAATCACCTATTTTCCCCCTTCTTGTTTGCAAGAAAACAAAAGTATCTAAACTAAACAGTAAACAGGAGACATAGTAGCAGAAATAGAAAGATGCACATCCCATTGCATTTGGATTTGGAAAGAAAGAAGAAGATAGACTCTTTATTCTTTTATAGAATTTTTTCTTAAAGTTAAGTTAATCCGAAAATAGTAAATTGTGTATAGTATATAAAAAAGGTATCCGCTCTGGCTTTTTAGGAAGAACACTATTCGCAAGATCTGGTCTTAGTGAGAGAGATGGGATTGTGCTTTCACTAATACTAATAGAAGAATTTTTAGTAAAGGGAGGAAAGAGCCAGGTCTCGTATAGAACAAGGGTTTTTTTCGCTTTTCGACAGGAGATGATACATAAGCGCTCTTGGTCTTCTATCAGTATCCACTGCTCTTAGCCTTGTTAGAATCCGATGTTAGAAGGAAGAATTCAATAGGCATCCCAATATCCATTTTCTTAGATAGATAAGCGATCAGCTAAAGTAATGGTCATACCCCTCCCACCCTCCATTTGAGGAAGATATCTCAGGTATTCGCCTACGAGGTCTTCACATAATAGGTTGAAAAAATCCTTATTAGGAAGAATACTTGGATAAATCCCTGGTCTTATAGAAGTAGCTAGCAAGTCTAGGCACTTGATGCATGTGAGGGTAAGGGAAGGAAGTCTCTTTGACACGTATGAGTAGCTGTCACGAATCGAAATTTTAAAAGCCCAAAGAGAGATTTTCCGACAAGAAAAAAGTTGGTTGAGATACGGGATGATAGGGCGGGCGACCGACTTTCGGTACTTTCTGCCAACTCGATTTCAATACTAAGTAAGCTCCTTATCGCATAAGTAAGAAAGTTCAGCTACAGAGGGTAAAGAGAGGGGTGGACGAGAGTTCTAATAATTCTCTTCCTTCCATACAGATCTGCTAGCGTCCCATCTTTTTCTTACTTGAATGAAGAAAGACAGAACCTCTCTTTTCAGCCATAGCCAGCATTTCGCTTTCCACTTC